CTACTACTAGTGATGGGAATTAAAATTTTATCAACAATCTTCAATTTAATTTTGTTTTGTCTAAAACCAATTAAATATTGGGGCAAAAATTCTCTAGGAGCCAACAAAGCTAGTAGTATTTAGCACTAGTAGCACTAGCAGATCATACTACTAGAGGAAGATTTTCACTGGTACATACTACTATTACTTTCTCACTGTCCCTTTGAGATGGTTCTCTACCTCCTGTTTGTTGCATCAACTACTACTAGTAGCTGCACTAGAATGAAAGGGTTTCACAGGTCCCTTCTTTTGTTGTCCGTAGGATATCAGACCGTGGGTATGATTCATACATACGACACATACATACGATAAGTATCTACGATTCATACACATCATACATATATGACTCACGCGATCCCACTGGATTCATATGATCGACATGACTCATTTCATTCACTTGAGTGAGTGACTCGACTCATTCGATTCACACATCACTCGATTCACACATCACTCGATCCTCACAGCAATCCATTCTAGATTTCATAGTTCGTTGATCCCCGATAAGAGCATTGACTCACTTTTCTACTAGCACACACTTTACATCACTTTTAGGACAGTCACTCCCACATCTTTGTTAATTTTAAGGAAGACAGCTGCCAACAAATATCAAAGTTTTTGGTTCTAGTAGGTTCTTACTAGTACTACTAATCTAGTATTGATTCAGGACCAAGGATCTGTGACCAGAAACTCATCAATGATATTTGGCCTCAGTTCTGCTGGTATATGAATGCTGAACAGCTGAAGTTGGCCACAGTTGGAGCTTCAATTGGTGAGCTAGAAAATAATTTTATTTTAGTACAATTAGAAAAAATATTCATGAAGCCTTGGAAAAAGTGCATATGGGCACTGGTGGTTGATACTAGTAGSATAGGGTATTTAACTGTATGATAAGTCCACCTCAAATCAGTTGTGCCACTAGTGATGATATTTAAAGGGATGGGAAGAACAGGATATTGGGGAGGCCAATAGTTGTSTTATTATTTGCACYGGRTGGAACAAGAATCTATATTRCACCTGGTACAATGATTCAGACAAGCAGTACACTTCCTGAYATTRTTGCTGTGCATCAGAAGATGGGAGAATGATATTAACAATTCTTACAGTGCTGGAAGATTGATATTAAYRTGTTAATATAATTTGCCCTCAAGAACAACAGCAACAACTTCCTCTTGGCAAGTTTCCAAAAGAATGCTAAAAACAACAAGGAGCTTCTTTAGGCAAACTAGAAGTTTACTATTTACTAGTACTAGGATACAAAGCAGATCCTACTAGTAGTAATACTGAAACACATTGTTCATGAAAAGAACACTGCCTGCTAAATTTGGGGTTCTTGGGGTTGAAAAGAAGAACACTGCCTCCTAAATTTTGAGAAAATGATGCTAGAGCTCCCAAATGCATTTTTTTGTTATTATCATGGTCCACCGTACTGGGGAATATATCATTACAGCCTAGGATCATAAGATATGGACGCTGGTRCATATTGTTGTTCTTGTGACCTTGTGGATCCATAAAGAACAATGATGTCACATAAGACCCCCATGTAGATCCAGTACAARGATCCACAAGGAGCCTAATCAGAACTGAAGAATTCACACTGGTGGTTAACATATATTAGCACAGTGACACTTGAGATACAGTAAATACCAATCTACATGATATCTTGTTGTGCAAGGTGCTGGGAATAAAAATTCTTAATGGGGGAATAGAATGTGTTTGTACGTAAAGGCTATAATGGAAAGTTTGGGGGTTCTGGGAAACAATTTTCAATTAGTTCAAAACTTTACAGCTTTTTCCTGGTAGGTTTAGTAGGGTAAAAACATACTACTAGTCAATATATGGTAGAAACATAGTCAATGTGTGGTGGTGGATAAAGTCAACATGTGGTACA